CTCTCTTCTCTCTCTCTCTCTCTCTCTAAAAAAAGAGAAAAAGGAATTAATATTTTCAAGGGTATATTTGTGCTGTGACTACGTTCCACGAGAAAATACCTGGACACTGAATCATATTAAAGATGGGATATCTGCGTATTGAATGGGATTTTGACAGGAATTTTTATAAAGCGAAGATTTGTTTCATGTGCCTCTGTGTGTAGAACTCTGAGTTGGGTGCTGTGGATCGGTTAAGATGAGGAATACCTCCCCTCATAGTAATTATAAGAACAAATGAACATGTGCAAATACTGAAATACTCACCCTACACTATATATATATAATGAAACTTTTGACCTACATATATCATAAGGCTCTTTTTAAATTATTAACTGCTTTTATAATTGATATATCTCAAAATGTATTTTATGTCAGTGATACCGCTTTACAATCTAAAAATAGTATTTCAAGAGTGAAATCACTCTAAGATAGTCCATATAAGTTGCTATCAACATCAACTGTAGAAATGAGAATGGTAACATTTAGTGTAGAAGTTAGCCTATCAAGCAGTGCTTCAGGCACATGGAATGTAAGAATAACATGGAAAAACAGCAGGAAAAGCTTGACACAGAACGGCTGCGTTTTGATTGTATTACTTTAACAAAAGGCTTAGGCTCTGTTTGTCAAATCTAAGCTACCATCATTAAAAAGACATTATTTTGATTACTACTAAGAAAGGAAAATGCTACCAATAACATCATCCTAATATCAGGGATTATTAATTAAATTAGAGATCTTAAATCAGTGAAATACAGGATGTTTGAAGAACAGGATAATTCACAGGAGGCAGGAGAAAATAGCAGGAAGAAAACCTCCTTTGTCTGCCTTTCCTTTCAACCCTTTGGGCCACCCAGCCCAGCCAACTCTGGATTTCACATTCCAGCCTTTTCATGAGAAAACTTTATCACTATTAACTAGGACTAGCTAACATAACATTTATTTTGTCTTTAATTACTTCATTATACTGATTAGAGTTCTTTACTTACTAAGATGGTATATCTTTGAAATAGAGATTGAAATTTTTAAAAATTCATTTGCATTAAAATAGTTTCTCCAAAGAGCCAAAATGTGCGTTGGTGTATGAGAAAGTTTTATTTTTATGCTGTTCAGCAGCCATGATTGCTGAACTCTTCTGTAAATGGTTTCTTGGCAATTGAACATATCAGAGTCTACAGGAACAGGTATGATGGTTTTATTCATGAGTTCGTCAACATTTATTGACTACTTATGGAGGCACTTGTTTGGCCTAATACTCCATGAAAGAATCAGAAAAATCACCTGAATATAAAAAGATTAGTGTGTCCCCGCCTTTTTCTGTAAATTTCATTTAAAGTAAGTATTAACACAATCAAGTAGATACGCACAGTGGGTGAACTTGATAGCTTCAGATTTGCTTTAGTTGCATTTAAAAAATGTGTATCTTTTTAATTGATGTGTTACAGTTTATGAATTAGCAGCAAGAGAAATATTCTATCTGTAACAAGGGACGGCTGTAGCAAAATCACACTTGACTGCTGAAATCATTCTTAGGAAAAGTTGTTGTTGTTTGTTTTTCCCAGTTAATAGCAGTATAATCATTTCTACGTCTTTCCTTTCTGGCTTCTGAATAGTAATAAAGGAAACTTTTCTTGGGAGTTGTGCTAAGTTTCCCAAGCATCAAAGGGCTGAAGTGGATTATATCCTTAAAGCCTATAATACGACAACGTGAATGATGGCAGTTGTAGGAGTTAGAAGCTGAGCGATTCTGCAGGTTCGGAAATGAGACGCTTTCCTAAGCGTGCAGGAGTGAGCTGGTGAGACGGCAGGTAGCCAAGAAGCAAATAAAGGGCACTGACAGCAACGACAGAGAAGAAGCAAGCACGATAGCCCTGCTCCCCTGCTGAACGCATACTGAAGTCTCACTGTAGTACCCAGAAATGATCTTCATTGTTATGGAATTCCATGCTTTATAAATTGTTATAATTTTGCTAAAATTCCCCAATTACCCATTTTGAGAGGCCAGCATTAAAATCTTAACAGGAAAGAGTTGCTTTTGAGAGTCACAGTTTATATGTGGATGGCTTGTGCATCCAGACATTGGTTTCTTTTTCTCCTATATCCTCTCCCTCCCCCAGTGCAACATATGAAGTGATAAACACCACGACCACCATCTACATGGTGATGGAATACGCCAGTCATGGTAAGAGGCATATAATTATATATTGGGTTTTTCTTTATCCTTTTTAAAAGATACAGAACACACTTCCAATAATTGTTAAGGTTTCATTTAACATCCAGAGTCATATATACTAGGATGAGAGTAAAAAAGCTGACTCTTAGCAATTCTATGGGTGCCATTAAGTGTTCACTATTAGCTTGTTAACTGATAAAAGCAAGACCCTGGATTTTTATTGTGGGAAATACACATCACATAAAATTTACCATTGTAACCATTCGAGTGTACATTCAGTGGCTTTAAGTATGTTCACATTGCTTTGCAGCCCTCACCACCATCCATCTCCAGAACTTTTTCATTTACCAAAGCTAACCACTAACCCCTCATGTCCCCTCCCAGCTCCTGGCAAACCACCATTCTGTCTGCCTTGTGAGTCTGCTGCTCCAGGTGCCTCATGTAGGGACTGCAGTTTTGTCCTTTGGACTGGCGATTCCACTCAGCATAAGGTCTTCAAGGTTCATCCACGTCGTGCCTTTCAGAATCCTCCTTTTCTAAGGCTTTCTCCAGTTTAAAGATTTATTGGTGAACTTACATGCCTATGGCCTAAACTTAAGACCAGCTTAAACTCTACGATATTCTGTCTGACTTCATTCCTATGTTTAATAATGAGAGCATTGCTAAAAGTGACACATTATCAATGATGGGAAAAATGCTCAGAGTGGGCCTTCTGCTTACCTTTATTCTCTCAATTGTAGGCGATGTATATGATATTTACAAAGATGGTGGGGGAAATGCATGAGGAGGAGGCCAGGGAGAAGTTTCGCCAGGTAGGAATCATTGCATCTTTAGTTTGTTAATTTAATAAAGTTATCATGCTTAGACCCTGAAGCAAAAAGTGTTAGCCTCCGTAAGTGCTTAGAAGGCTCACTGGGTGGCAGACATTGGCCATTCAGCTGGAGAAATCATATTAGGTGCCCTTCATACCTAAGGTACTGCGCTAGAGAGGTCGCCATGGGCCCTGTTCCTAGCTTTGTGAAGTCAACATTAATCTCACTCTTAACTTTCACTTTTGACTATTGAGCCTTAAAAATCTAGAGCTATAGATGTAATATTTAGGATTACATCAATTAAAGCCATTTCAAAGTTTTTAGCAAGAAGAATGGCACAATCCCAAAATTTATGAGTTTTGTCTTACATAAGCCAAGACCAAATAGAACTGAATCTGTTAGTTAGTGATTTTCCTCTTTGCTTGTCTTTACGTTGCTCTTTAAGGACACAGGGGTTTTAATGAGCAGGTTTTAAGCATAGAGGTGACTTAACCCTTCTGTCTTTATTAGTAATAATTACTATTACTGATTGACCATGCCAGACACTGGGATGAGTACTTTAGCTACATCAATGTGAATCTTGCAGCAGCCTTGTGAGTTAAGAAGCATTATGCCCATTTGCTCCACACAACTAAGAGATGAGAAGATTACATAACTTGCCCAGAATTCAGTGCAAGTAGCAGACCTTCCATAGATTCAGAGACCCAGGCCCTCTGACTTCAAACCTCAATGTTGTAATCATTATGTCCTGCTATTATTTAGACTAGGAATCAGCAAACTCTTTATGTAAAGGGCCACATAGTGACCATTTTAGGCTTTGTGGTCCATATAGTCTCTGTTGCAACTATGTAGCTCTCCTGTTACAGCATAGAAGCAACTGTAGACAACACTAAATGAATGAACATGACTGTATTCCAATAAAGCTTTATTTACAAAAACTGGGATGAGCCAGATGTGGCCCATATAGGCCCTGATTTGGCAACCGCTGATTGAATGGAGGAAAGGAGCAAGTGCTTTCCTGCTTTTAAATGAACTCTGTCTGCTCCCAGTTACAAGGTCCACATTGAAATGGCAGTGGGGCCTCATTTCTCTCAGAACCTTTCAGTTTTGTTTTCCACACATATACGTTTGTCATAACAGATAGGAGACTTAAAGCTTCGCATTTGGAAAGGTGTTTTTAGCTGATTTTCAAGTTTTCTCCTAACAGTGCCTCCTTTGATTTGTTTAGTTGGATATTTATAGTTAAGGACTCGTTTCTAAGTTTCCTAACTTCTGTTGTTGCTAAATTTAAAAGCTTAAGAAATCCTAATGGTACTTTGAATTAAAATCTATTAAATATCAAAGTTGAAAGTAACTTCCCTGATCCTCAGCTTTTTCTAGCTATAAAAAGAGGAAATTCTACTCGATGAATTCTGTCATTCTTTCCAGTTCTAATATTTTATTCTGTGGTGTATGAAAGGAAACTCAGATATTTACTAGAAAACCAATCTGCCCCTTTTCATAACTGTACTCTTCACTTTTATAAATTAGCCAATATTTTTGCTTTATACAACTTAATTTTGCTCCTACTCAGAAGAATCTGACTTGCAAACATTTATGTGAATATGGCTTATTGAGCATGAGGAAAGGCTAATGTCAGCCAGCAAGAGCACGCCTGCGTCCGGACCCTCTCCAAGGAAGCAGTTGGCGCTTCACCCCACAGCTGCGGTTCTCTGCCGTCTCTACCCAGCCCCATCTGCCACCTGCTGGGGTCCAACTCTTCAGAAAGGCTTAGACCTTTACTCACCTCAACCTTGAGGCCATGACTCTGGGCTTGTTGTTGTTTTGTTAAGAGACAAGGGTCTCACTGTGTTGCTCAGGCTGGATTCAAACTCCTGGGCTCAAGCGATCTACTCACCTCAGCCTCCCGAGTAGCTGCGACTACAGGCATGTGCCACTGTGCCCAGCTTCTGTTTTTATTTTAAATTCCCTGCAGAAATTCTGAAGCCTTTATTGGAGGAACCTATTAGTTAGACCAGGACAGATGGGATGTGTGTGTGTGTGTGTGTGCGCACGCTTTTACAATTAATGGCTTCGTTTACAGTGCTTGGTATTAATGTTGTCCCTTCTCCTTACTGCGGTGTTTGCCTAAGACCGCTCCTTTAGACCTGGAGAATCAAGCATGATACTGGTGCTTCTGCTTTTTCTGTTTCTAATTGCCATGCATTCCAGGAGCTTATAAGTCATCATTTCTTTGACTAAAGAAAAAAAGTTTTCCTGTTTATGACAAGGATCATAGGCCCTTCTTTCCATATTCATGAGCAGGTGGGTTTTCCTTCACCATTCCCAGCCTGGTTAATACTTATGCCATTTTAGTTTTTTGGTTGAGCTCTTGTTCTTTTCAGAGAAAGAGAATAGACTCCTGGATCTATCTTTTTTACCTACCTCTTTCTTGGTGGGCTGGCAGTGTTAGTGCCTCTGTTCTTTCATATATGACTGCAAGTGAGTTAGGCTAACACTCGTATTTTAACCTAGACAACATCCAGGTTCTCAACCTTCTTTAGAAGTCATTGTTCATAGCCTAAGAATGTGGCGCACACGTATAAGCCCAGCTACCCAGGAGGCTGAGGTGGGAAGATTGCTTGTGCAGAGGAATTTGAAACCATCCTGAGACAACATAGCAAGACCCTGTCTCAAAAATAAAAAATGAATATTAATAAATATACATGCAAAATACCAGAGAAAAGACTAGAAGCAAATACAAAACAATAAGAGATGCTTCCTTCTTTAGTGGTAATACGGGCATATATTTGTATATACTTTTCTATGTTTCCTAAAATTTTTATAATGAGCATATAAAACTTTAACATTAGAAAAAGAGACTGTTTTAAAAAGTTACCAGTAGATGTGAAATGGCAGTAAGACAATGTAGTTAACGTGCTGACCACAGGAATAATGGCAGCTCCACTAACGCACACTGTGTGCAGGAAGTGGGGTCCCTGTCAACAGTGCGCGTGGCACTCTTCCTAGCGC